GCAGACATCAGAATTCTGGTTGAGTTGTGTCAGAAAACGTTCCTTTCCCCTTTCATCTAGGCAGGTGTTTTGGCATGCTACATGCAGATGGTTTGGTTCTTCCTCTGTTGTACCAGGGGGAAGAGCAGAAAAAAGAGCAAGAGGAGAAGAATTATGCCAGTCATGGAAGTGATCATCATTTTTCAGAAAAGAATATTTTTGATCAGGATGAAACTAATAGACATTGTTCCGGATGTCCATTTGCAGTCCACTGAAGAAAAGATAATCTAAACCCAACACAACAGGAAAGGCAAGCATCTGTGGGGCAAGGACAACCACTGGTAAGGTGACTGTTAATGTTTGCACTGTAATTTGTACTTCACCCCATCCTAATGGTTGCCGAGCTCCTCCATCAGCCAGATAAATGGGACCCTCAGTCCAGGATCTGAGCTGTTGAGTATGATAACCCAGGGTTAACCACAGCTTTTCATTTAACAGTGTATATGAAGATCCTGTGTCAACCAAAGCTTGACCTTGCCAAGAGTCAATATTTACAGGAACAATCAACTGCTGTGGTAGAGATGCGGAGAATGGATGAGTAGGTGAGTATACAGACTCCATATGAGTGACAGTGCTAACAGTAGGATGATTATCATGGTTACCTTTAACAGGATGTGAACTTTGCTGACCTTTATAGTTTTTGTTCTTCGCAGGACCGCCCTGAGGACAAGAATTCGGAGCGTGAGGGCCCTAACACCGCCAACAGAAGGGAGATTTAGCAGAGTCCTGTGGTACTGAAGCGATTACTGGGTTATTCAACTGAACCGGAGCAGGGCTGGATACTCTGAGTTTCCAAGGTTTTTTCCGTTGTTCATATTGTAGCTGGTTTTCCTTGTCTTTTTCTAGCTGTTGTCCAAGACGGACTAAACCATCAACAGAGGTAACTCCATTACTTCGAAGTTGACTTGCCATCTGAGGATTGATGTTCTTCAAGATCAGCTTAATAACGTCATCCTCTTCAATTTGTGGCTTCCAGCGTTTGCAGAGAGCTCGGTACATATAAGCAAAATCTCTTATGCTCTCACCCTCCTGCTGTACACGTGTTCTTACTCTCTCTGCCAACTCATCCTCATAGTCTTCTGACAAGAACGCAGAAAGAAACTTAGATTCAAACTCCTGCCAAGTGTTTGTCTCAAGTCGAGCAACATCCCACCAGTCTCTAGCTGTTCCATGGAGCACATTCCTGAGTGTTGCTATTAATTCTTCATCAGAAAGAGGGTGGAGTGCCATGAAATCATAACATTTCTCCAAAAAGATCAAAGGATCATCACAGTCTTCTAGTCGACCAAAGCATGGGAACTGGATTTTCACAGGCTGTTTCCCCAAAAAACGTCCTCTACCTTCAGCAGTGGTAACCATTTCACTTGGGGGATTAAGATCAGAGTCACCCAGTCCACCTTGAAATGTTAAATGGAGTCGCTGTAATCTGGTATTCACCCCCGGCATTTCCACCATAGTAGAAGCAGATGGTGACGGAATTGTTGGTACAGAAACAGTTGCTTTCACTGAACTCTGCTGTGATAACTTGAGAGCTTCAATGTCTGTAGCCAATTGCTGAAAATGTTGCGTGCACTGGTGGAGTTCATTCTGTAAATTCCCATCGGAACTTCTCTGAGCTAGAAAGATGTTCATTTGTTGAGTATATTGATCAGTGGTCTTTTGTATAAGATCCAGAGTATTAGCCATTGGTTCCATGACTGTATTGAAATCCTTCAATACCTCTGCATGATGATTCTTTAGTCGCCAATGCAGCATGTTATTAAACTCTTTCCTGAAATGCTCAAACTGATTACTCATAAGCTGTTTTATTTCAGTAGTTTGTTTCACAGATGCAGTATCCACATTCAAAGTGAAAGTATCTATGGAATTTTTGAGCTCTCCAACTTCAGTGAACAAGGTGTCTTTTAGACTCTGGTATTGTGTTCTGGTCATTTCACTCAATTGCTGAAGTGTCAGAGTGTCCATGAATCCAGTTAATCCTAATGAGGGCTGAGATGAAGGTGATATTGGGGGTCTGAGAGCAAAACTTCCAGTTAAGTCCATATCCAGCAGAGTATGTTGAGATGAAAGGGCCTGAAAACCTTCCAAGGTACTGCTAGGAAGAGAGGGTTGAATTCCATCTTGATCTAAAGCCATAACATCCATAAGATCATCTTTAAAGGCCTTGGGTGGAGTTTGGTTTTGATCACCCTCCATTTCATGGCAAGACCTGCTTGGAGAGGCAGCCATTTTGTTTGTAGGATTGGTTGTTTGCATGATGAAGGGTAGGTTGAGTGTATTTTCTTTCTACACAAGTTTTTAATATTTGGGTCCCATCTGGGGTGCCACTTTTATGTAACGTTTTCCCACACTCTTTGTTTGGGGTTTTTATATGCTGGGGTGCCAGACAGGATTTCTGTCATTAATTAAAGTTCACTTTAGGGAAACGTACAAAGATCTTGTGCATCTGTCTTGTTCTGTCACAAAACCCGACACTTAATGAGATAAAGATTATACACGCATACTCAATACAATAATACCCATAATAATCACTCTTAAATAGACCACCAACCATTCAATACGACAGGACACATAGAACTGCGTTCAAAGATGTATATTCAGCACAGCAGTGAAAGTGAAAAAACAAAAAACAGTTCATAAATTGTCCATCAGTAATCCCCACAGTAATCCACAGCAAAAATAGTTCACATAGTCAGTAGGAGGAAAAAAAGAATAAAATTCCCCACTCAAAAACAGTCAAAGTTAAGTCAGGTCATGTCATGTCAGCGCTGGCTAAATTGTACTCACGACTCCTTTTCCCCTTAAGAGTCTGGTCCACATTTTCCCTGGCTTCTCAGACGTGAAGATATAGGCTCTAGGCTCCTCATCCGTCAATCCAGTTCATGTTTTGGAATTAGGCTACTCACTCGTTCGGTTTCCTCTGCAGTATCTCAACGACAATCAGCAGGTCACACAACGATGAGGATAATTTCCTGTTAGTAATCCATAACGCGATCTGCTTAGCACGCACGCCGACGATACACACTCTTACCGCGGATAAAACAAATAACAGCCGCGGGAGTCTTCTGAGGAGCTCCGCGAGGTACTCACTGCATCTCGATAGCCGGCGCCATGTTTTTATAAGCGATGCACGTCATCCAGATAACTAGGGGCTGGACTAAAGACAGCGCCATCTTGACTCGACACACAGGTTACAATGACTGTAGTTACATAAAGGTACGATGACTGTAGTTTCATAAATGATGGAGATGTTTTGATTTTTGTAAATAATGAGCTCAATGTTATGTACAGATGAATAATGAGGAAATAAATGTAGAACATTTAAATTACAATTTATTTATTTATTTCCTGATGACATCGTCACATCACGCACACTCACACACGCACACACGCACTCACTCACACACGCACACTCACACACACGCACTCACACACACTCACGCAGTCACGCACACTCACACACGCACTCACGCACACTCACACACGCACACTCACACACACGCACTCACGCACACTCACACACGCACTCACGCACACTCACACACGCACTCACGCACACTCACACACGCACACGCACTCACGCACACTCACACACGCACACGCACTCACGCACACTCACACACGCACACGCACTCACGCACACTCACACACGCACTCACGCACACTCACACACGCACACGCACTCACGCACACTCACACACGCACACGCACTCACGCACACTCACACACGCACACGCACTCACGCACACTCACACACGCACACGCACTCACGCACACTCACACACGCACACGCACTCACGCACACTCACACACGCACACTCACACACACGGACTCACACGCACACTCACACACGCACTCACGCACACACACACACGCACTCACGCACACTCACACACGCACTCACGCACACTCACACACGCACACTCACACACACGCACTCACACACACTCACACACGCACTCACGCACACTCACACACGCACTCACGCACACTCACACACGCACACACGCACACTCACACACACGCACTCACGCACACTCACACACGCACTCACACACACGCACTCACGCACACTCACACACGCACTCACGCACACTCACACACGCACACTCACTCACGGACGCACACTCACACACACGCACTCACGCACACTCACACACACGGACTCACACGCACACTCACACACGCACTCACGCACACACACACACGCACTCACGCACACTCACACACGCACTCACGCACACTCACACACGCACACTCACACACACGCACTCACACACACTCACACACGCACTCACGCACACTCACACACGCACTCACGCACACTCACACACGCACACACGCACACTCACACACACGCACTCACGCACACTCACACACGCACTCACACACACGCACTCACGCACACTCACACACGCACTCACGCACACTCACACACGCACACTCACTCACGCACGCACACTCACACACACGCACTCACGCATACACACACACTCACTCACACACACACACACACTCTCTCTGTGTACAATTTGAACAAACCTTTATTTACTTTAATTTTGTGCCCATTTTTACAAACGAGGACCTCCCCAAAATTAGTTTGTCATGTTTAGCTAACTTCTAAAGTATACATGTCCAGCAGGTACACACACATTTTATGTTTTTTTAATTAACCTATATATTTTGTTACATTCATTTGTACAATAATGATTGTTGTTGGCTTTAACGCTCTCCCCAGTAGAAACTAATGGGAAAAGTCACATTACAACCCTTGCAGCTGGTCAGCGATGATGTGTGTGTGTGTGTGTGTGTGTTTTCTTTTTTTTAACGTTAGATGAATGATTTGAACCATTTTGAATTTAATCATAAAAATGATATATTTTACAAGCGCATTGGTGTATCATCACATAGTATGCATTTCTCACAATGTTTTTGCTGTCATAATATTGTATGTCTTCAGTGTGCAGCGCTTGACGGGAAGTGTTCTATCAGCTGTGACAGCGATGTGAGTGTCCATATTCACTCTCTCACTCTCTCACTATCTCACTCTCTCTCTCTCTCTCTCTCTCTCTCTCTCTCTCTCTCTCTCTCTCTCTCTCTCTCTCTCTCTCTCTCTCTCTCTCACTATCTCACTCTCTCACTCTCTCTCTCACTATCTCACTCTCTCACTATCTCACTATCTCTCTCACTCTCTCACTATCTCTCACTATCTCACTCTCTCTCTCACTATCTCACTCTCTCTCTCTCTCACTCTCTCACTATCTCTCACTATCTCACTCTCTCTCAGTCTCTCACTCTCTCACTATCTCACTCTCTCACTATCTCACTATCTCTCTCACTCTCTCTCACTCTCTCACTATCTCTCACTATCTCACTCTCTCTCTCACTATCTCACTCCACGCTCACGCTCTCAGTCTCTCACTATCTCATTGTCTCTCTCTCTCTCTCTCACTCCTTCACTCTCTCAGTCTCTCACTATCTCACTCTCTCACTCTCTCACTCACTCACTCTCTCACTATCTCACTCACTCACTATCTCACTCACTCACTATCTCACTCTCTCACTCTCTCACTATCTCACTATCTCACTCTCTCACTCTCTCACTCTCTCACTCACTCACTCTCTCACTCTCTCACTATCTCACTCACTCACTATCTCACTCACTATCTCACTCACTCACTATCTCACTCACTCACTATCTCACTCACTCACTATCTCACTCTCTCACTATCTCACTCTCTCACTCTCTCACTATCTCACTCTCTCACTCTCTCACTCACTCACTCACTCTCTCACTATCTCACTATCTCACTCTCTCACTATACAGTATTTGCAGTTTACAACTCTGTGTTTGTGTTTTTGTTATTTCTCTTAACCGTTTCTGTTCCTCCACTATATGTAGGATATCAGCTGTTACCTTATAGACAACAACGGGTTCATTATTGTGGCTGAGGATCTGTCTTTGGTGAGGATCATCAGTTTGCGCTTCTGTATACTTGTATAGTCAATATTTTATTCCTATATATTCAGAATTCGTGCCAATTATAATGCCCACTGCATTTCTGGAGGCTGAATCAATTTTGAACAATGTTTAGTATTACTGTTAATCTCACGTGCTTAGACACATTAATCCATTCCATTAGCTTGTGATGTTAACGCTGGCAGTGTCTCCTGCAGACTGGTGTGTTCTTCGGGAAGGCTGAGGGAGCTGTGATGGGCAAACTGGTTTCAATGGGTTCCTTTAAGAGGTATGGCAATGCTGAAAGAGAAGAAGACATGAGATCGTTTGTCTTGAGTATGAGCAGTCATTAAACTAGTCCTGAGTGTCCTAACCCTAACCCTTAGAGCCTTAACATAGGTCCTACATCTGCTAATAAACCTACTTGTTATAATGAATAAATTATAACAAACGGAGCCAAACATTCTGAGTTTGAGTAGATTTGTTTAGGCAAATGGTCACAAACACTTTCACTTTCACTAGAAAACACTAGTTTTCTAACTAATTTAGAGGCAATGAGATGTTCAAAGTTCCCTTACAATATACAAATGGAAGAGTTTTTCAGTGTGGGCTAGTAAGGTGGAGAATTGCCCTTCTGGATCACACGACACCAAAGCTTCCGCAGAAACAGGTTTTCAACATATAGTTCTGTATCACAGATCTCAATCAGGACAATATTAAATAAGAAATCTAACAGAGGCAATAGATGCATTCAGGACTTTGCTGAATATTCCCCATATGCACACGGTCACACAGACAACAGAAGACAACACACACATACATAGACATAAACTAATGCAAAGACAGCACACACACACACACACATATGCGTGGATGTGGAATGAACCTTTCGTACACGTCAGTGTTTGAGGTACAGAAAGAGCTGCAAGCAAAATTATAATTATCTCTGATTTACACTTTAATGTGATGTAAAAGGAGGCCAGCTCTCTCTCACACACACACACACAGACACGCACACACACACGCACACTGTCGCCTTTTTCCACCTTTGTTGCCATTGGCTTTTGGCTTGCTTAGTTGGGGACATTAAATTTAACATTTAATTTAATATTCAGCAATATTATTGATCTCCTGCATTGACAGCATTATATGAGAACTGAACTGAGCTGGACGATGACATCACTGTTTTCTCCGGAGCGGCTGTATATATAAATGAACTAAATTAATAACTTTTTTAAAACAGAAATGCACCATCACTGAACTTACTTAAGCTGGACTGTGACGCTATTCTCTTCTGGAAACAAACTCTGTTGCATTATTGTCCTGTTATCTCTGTAAAGCTGCTGTGAAACACTGAAACACTCTGTGTTGTAAAAAGCGCTGTATAAATAATGTGACTCGACTATTGCAATTGTTTATTGCACAAGTTCATGTGTTCAATAGTTCAGTGAGTTCATACACAAACTCATACACACATGCTAGTCATTGACATTTGCATTTCTGTAATGTATTTTTATAGTAATTATGGCTGAAATGTACTTGTATTTGTGTTCAGGGTGAATCTGTATGACTATCAGGCCATCTGTAGGGTGTACGCACACACCAGCGATACGGCACACACACTCTTACACGTGAGTCCTGCACAACACCGTTACACTGCATCTGTTGCATGTATTCCTCATTCCAGTGTCTTTCTATGGTTTCTCTCATAGTTTTAAAACACTAAAACATCATTATTTGTTCACCCCGTCACTCAAGTGCTTGACACACACATTCTCCTTATCATCAGCTGGCATCGCTTCTCAACACACACGGCCCCATCAAAAAGTGTCATCATATTTGGATACGTTTATGGACATATGGCTATAAATCTATGGTTACACTTTATTTCAATAGTCCGCTTTAGACATTCTACTAACTATGAGTAACTTTGCTGCTACTGTACATGTCAACTAACTGTCATTAGGCCATTAGAGTAAGTGTGCAAGGTTAGGTTAGGTTAGTAGAATAAGTTGACATGTTTGAGAAGGAATGTACAGTCAGTATAAACTCTGTTGGGGGAGCATTAAAACTGACAGTACTAATAGTCTAACGACTGCTAGCTGACATGAAGCTGCAAACTTACTTATAGTCAGTGTTGAGAGTAATGCATTACAAGTAACACAAGTTACGTAATCAGATTACGTAAGAGATTTTAATATCATCAGAACTCTCTGCCTCTTAATCCTCTCTCTCTCTTAATCAAAATAATTGATCGTAATAATTGAATAAGAAAATAATTGACACTACTCTGGCTCCGTGTGTGTGACTGTGTTCTCTTCACTGTGTGTGTGACTGTGTTCTCTTCACTGTGTGTGTGACTGTGTTCTCTTCACTGTGTGTGTGACTGTGTTCTCTTCTCTGTGTGTGTGACTGTGTTCTCTTCTCCGTGTGTGTGACTGTGTTCTCTTCTCCGTGTGTGTGTGACTGTGTTCTCTTCACTGTGTGTGTGACTGTGTTCTCTTCTCTGTGTGTGTGACTGTGTTCTCTTCTCCGTGTGTGTGACTGTGTTCTCTTCACTGTGTGTGTGACTGTGTTCTCTTCTCCGTGTGTGTGACTGTGTTCTCTTCTCCGTGTGTGTGACTGTGTTCTCTTCACTGTGTGTGTGACTGTGTTCTCTTCTCCGTGTGTGTGACTGTGTTCTCTTCTCCGTGTGTGTGACTGTGTTCTCTTCTCCGTGTGTGTGACTGTGTTCTCTTCTCTGTGTGTGTGACTGTGTTCTCTTCACTGTGTGTGTGACTGTGTTCTCTTCTCTGTGTGTGTGACTGTGTTCTCTTCTCCGTGTGTGTGACTGTGTTCTCTTCACTGTGTGTGTGACTGTGTTCTCTTCACTGTGTGTGTGACTGTGTTCTCTTCTCCGTGTGTGTGACTGTGTTCTCTTCTCCGTGTGTGTGACTGTGTTCTCTTCTCTGTGTGTGTGACTGTGTTCTCTTCTCTGTGTGTGTGACTGTGTTCTCTTCTCCGTGTGTGTGACTGTGTTCTCTTCTCTGTGTGTGTGACTGTGTTCTCTTCTCCGTGTGTGTGACTGTGTTCTCTTCTCCGTGTGTGTGTGACTGTGTTCTCTTCTCTGTGTGTGTGACTGTGTTCTCTTTTCTGTGTGTGTGACTGTGTTCTCTTCTCCGTGTGTGTGACTGTGTTCTCTTCTCTGTGTGTGTGACTGTGTTCTCTTCACTGTGTGTGTGACTGTTCTCTTCTCCGTGTGTGTGACTGTGTTCTCTTCTCAGTGTGTGTGACTGTGTTCTCTTCTCCGTGTGTGACTGTGTTCTCTTCACTGTGTGTGTGACTGTGTTCTCTTCACTGTGTGTGTGACTGTTCTCTTCTCCGTGTGTGTGACTGTGTTCTCTTCTCCGTGTGTGACTGTGTTCTCTTCTCCGTGTGTGTGACTGTGTTCTCTTCTCCGTGTGTGTGACTGTGTTCTCTTCTCCGTGTGTGTGACTGTGTTCTCTTCTATGTGTGTGTGACTGTGTTCTCTTCACTGTGTGTGTGACTGTGTTCTCTTCTCAGTGTTGTGTGACTGTGTTCTCTTCACTGTGTGTGTGACTGTGTTCTCTTCTCCGTGTGTGTGACTGTGTTCTCTTCTCCGTGTGTGTGACTGTGTTCTCTTCTCCGTGTGTGTGTGACTGTGTTCTCTTCACTGTGTGTGTGACTGTGTTCTCTTCTATGTGTGTGTGACTGTGTTCTCTTCTCCGTGTGTGTGACTGTGTTCTCTTCTCTGTGTGTGTGACTGTGTTCTCTTCTCTGTGTGTGTGACTGTGTTCTCTTTTCCGTGTGTGTGACTGTGTTCTCTTCTCTGTGTGTGTGACTGTGTTCTCTTCTCCGTGTGTGTGACTGTGTTCTCTTCTCAGTGTGTGTGACTGTGTTCTCTTCACTGTGTGTGTGACTGTTCTCTTCTCCATGTGTGTGACTGTGTTCTCTTCTCTGTGTGTGTGACTGTGTTCTCTTCTCCGTGTGTGTGACTGTGTTCTCTTCTCCGTGTGTGTGACTGTGTTCTCTTCTCCATGTGTGTGACTGTGTTCTCTTCACTGTGTGTGTGACTATGTTCTCTTCACTGTGTGTGTGACTGTGTTCTCTTCTCTGTGTGTGTGACTGTGTTCTCTTCTCTGTGTGTGTGACTGTGTTCTCTTCTCCGTGTGTGTGACTGTGTTCTCTCCTCCGTGTGTGTGACTGTGTTCTCTTCTCTGTGTGTGTGACTGTGTTCTCTTCTCTGTGTGTGTGACTGTGTTCTCTTCTCTGTGTGTGTGACTGTGTTCTCTTCTCCGTGTGTGTGACTGTGTTCTCTTCTCCGTGTGTGTGACTGTGTTCTCTTCTCCGTGTGTGTGACTGTGTTCTCTTCTCTGTGTTGTGTGACTGTGTTCTCTTCTCAGTGTTGTGTGACTGTGTTCTCTTCTCCGTGTGTGTGACTGTGTTCTCTTCTCCGTGTGTGTGACTGTGTTCTCTTCTCCGTGTGTGTGACTGTGTTCTCTTCTCCGTGTGTGTGACTGTGTTCTCTTCTCCGTGTTGTGTGACTGTGTTCTCTTCTCTGTGTTGTGTGACTGTGTTCTCTTCTCTGTGTGTGTGACTGTGTTCTCTTCACTGTGTGTGTGACTGTGTTCTCTTCACTGTGTGTGTGACTGTTCTCTTCTCTGTGTGTGTGACTGTGTTCTCTTCTCTGTGTGTGTGACTGTGTTCTCTTCTCAGTGTGTGTGACTGTGTTCTCTTCTCCGTGTGTGTGACTGTGTTCTCTTCACTGTGTGTGTGACTGTGTTCTCTTCACTGTGTGTGTGACTGTTCTCTTCTCCGTGTGTGTGACTGTGTTCTCTTCTCCGTGTGTGTGACTGTGTTCTCTTCTCCGTGTGTGTGACTGTGTTCTCTTCTCCGTGTGTGTGACTGTGTTCTCTTCTCCGTGTGTGTGACTGTGTTCTCTTCTCCGTGTGTGTGACTGTGTTCTCTTCTATGTGTGTGTGACTGTTCTCTTCTCCGTGTGTGTGACTGTGTTCTCTTCTCCGTGTGTGTGACTGTGTTCTCTTCTCTGTGTGTGTTACTGTGTTCTCTTCTCTGTGTGTGTGACTGTGTTCTCTTCTCCGTGTGTGTGACTGTGTTCTCTTCACTGTGTGTGTGACTGTGTTCTCTTCTCTGTGTGTGTTACTGTGTTCTCTTCTCTGTGTGTGTGACTGTGTTCTCTTCTCCGTGTGTGTGACTGTGTTCTCTTCACTGTGTGTGTGACTGTGTTCTCTTCACTGTGTGTGTGACTGTGTTCTCTTCTCCGTGTGTGTGACTGTGTTCTCTTCTCCGTGTGTGTGACTGTGTTCTCTTCTCCGTGTGTGTGACTGTGTTCTCTTCTCCGTGTGTGTGACTGTGTTCTCTTCTATGTGTGTGTGTGACTGTGTTCTCTTCTCCGTGTGTGTGACTGTGTTCTCTTCTCCGTGTGTGTGACTGTGTTCTCTTCACTGTGTGTGTGACTGTGTTCTCTTCTCCGTGTGTGTGACTGTGTTCTCTTCACTGTGTGTGTGACTGTGTTCTCTTCTATGTGTGTGTGACTGTGTTCTCTTCTCCGTGTGTGTGACTGTGTTCTCTTCTCTGTGTGTGTGACTGTGTTCTCTTTTCCGTGTGTGTGACTGTGTTCTCTTCTCTGTGTGTGTGACTGTGTTCTCTTCTCCGTGTGTGTGACTGTGTTCTCTTCTCCGTGTGTGTGACTGTGTTCTCTTCTCCGTGTGTGTGACTGTGTTCTCTTCTATGTGTGTGTGACTGTGTTCTCTTCTCCGTGTGTGTGACTGTGTTCTTTTCTCCGTGTGTGTGACTGTGTTCTCTTCACTGTGTGTGTGACTGTGTTCTCTTCTATGTGTGTGTGACTGTGTTCTCTTCTCCGTGTGTGTGACTGTGTTCTCTTCTCTCTGTGTGTGACTGTGTTCTCTTCTCTGTGTGTGTGACTGTGTTCTCTTCTCTGTGTGTGTGACTGTGTTCTCTTTTCCGTGTGTGTGACTGTGTTCTCTTCTCCGTGTGTGTGACTGTGTTCTCTTCTCTGTGTTGTGTGACTGTGTTCTCTTCTCCGTGTGTGTGACTGTGTTCTCTTCTCCGTGTGTGTGACTGTGTTCTCTTCTCTGTGTTGTGTGACTGTGTTCTCTTCTCTGTGTGTGTGACTGTGTTTTCTTTTCCGTGTGTGTGACTGTGTTCTCTTCTCTGTGTGTGTGACTGTGTTCTCTTCTCCGTGTGTGTGACTGTGTTCTCTTCACTGTGTGTGTGACTGTGTTCTCTTTTCCGTGTGTGTGACTGTGTTCTCTTCACTGTGTGTGTGACTGTGTTCTCTTCTCCATGTGTGTGACTGTGTTCTCTTCTCCGTGTGTGACTGTGTTCTCTTCACTCTGTGTGTGACTGTGTTCTCTTTTCTGTGTTTGTGACTGTGTTCTCTTCTCTGTGTGTGTGACTGTGTTCTCTTTTCCGTGTGTGTGACTGTGTTCTCTTCTCCGTGTGTGTGACTGTGTTCTCTTCTCTGTGTTGTGTGACTGTGTTCTCTTCTCCGTGTGTGTGACTGTGTTCTCTTCTCCGTGTGTGTGACTGTGTTCTCTTCTCTGTGTTGTGTGACTGTGTTCTCTTCTCAGTGTTGTGTGACTGTGTT